CGGTATAGGGATGATTAGACTGCGCGTCCAGAGGCCAGGCAGAATACCTTGTGACAAACTTAACCTGCACAGGTGCAAAAGGGGATTACCAGGTACCTGAGCAATAAGGCGGAGGACACTATAGGTAATTCCATCCTCACCTGGTGCAGACGCTTTTCCTTTGATCAGTGCATTGTCCAGTTCCCACTCAGTAATCTCAGCAAAGTCTGAAGGGTCGCACTCAGAACATCCAATCTCAATGGCAAATGTACGTGCAATTTTAGTATGACTAAGGTGATTCTGAATATTTGTGGGAAGTGAGCTCAATTTGGACGCTCCAGCACATTGACTAAGGAGCATGTCTGCTTGTGCAAGAGGACTATGGAACTGCGGGGTGTTAGTTGGCTTGCCTGAGAGTCGATTGATTTTTTTCCTGACCTCAGACATTGAGGTGTTGTTATTAATGCTTTGTAGGAACTGTTCAAAGTGTTCTTTTCTGAAATGAGTTTTTAATTCCCGTAGATTTTTGTTAGCTTTAAGAAAGTGAATAAGATTGTCACGGGTATTGTCCTGCTTGTACATAGCAAGAAGCTCCTGAACTCGCTTTTGTTCCCTTAATAGTGTAGGGTCACTGACCCACTTAGGTTGTTTTAGGCGTTGTGAATTGTTGCTTTTTGAGGTTTTCTTTGGACAGACCCAGGTGTTGTAGTAATCAGTGACCACTTTTGTCATGTCCATGGAGAATTTATCAACACTCGTTACTGTGTAGTCGTTATACCAGTCATGAATACGTGCTTTAAAGTGGTGCTCAAGGTAAGGAGGAATAGAAATTTTGAGCCTATTCGTTTTTGCAGATAGATTATTATCAACAGCGTATCTCGTTACTATTGCAAAGTGGTCACTGATTAACTCAGGTTTCCATGCACAAGATCCCTTCCTATTACATAATCTAGCCTACCCCCCGCCACGTGAGTTTTCCTGTCTGTATCATATACGGTCATGGATCTATTGTTCACAAAATTTCGGAACTCTTCGCCGTTTTCATTGCATTGACTGTCTCCAAATGTAGTGTCTAGCACTGAAATCCCCCATGCATATTGTGCCGTGATTCTGAAAGCTAGGCAGTGAATCAGTTTGAAACTTTCTACACCTTGCGTATACATTGTACAGAGAGAAAAACCCAGAGGCTGTTCGAATATGTAAATGCTGATATTGCAGAACTGTGTCCGTACATATTAACGAAAGCTGGCGTGTCGTTCCGTAGACAATGTGAAAGGTAACGTTGATTTTAGCGTTTTCTTTCCCTTTTTTTTAGATTAATTATTGCTTTATATTTAATGAATTTCATCTTGTTTACTTCATAATTTAATGGAATGAGAAAGTTATGGAGTATATAGGAAAATGTCAGTAATATTGAAAATGCGAATAAGGTCTCTAATACCACTACTAATATTACACTTGATACCCATGACGATTCAGCTGAAAATAACGACGACGATGTGCAAGAAGCGGAAGACCTGTGGGGACGGATTATACGTATGATATCAATATAAGGATAACGCACAGAACCTAAGAGTTTTCGGTGAGTTCGTTGGACTGATTTTGGCGTTTTCTTTCTTTTTTATTCGTTATTGCTTTATAGTTAGTTTATTTCATCTTGTTTACTTCATAATTTCCTTGATATACTTCATGGTCTCCATACAAACGGGATTATCAAGACAAGATTGTTGGATGAATACGAAATTCCGCCAATCAAAGAAGGTATCTGTGGTATGCCTATAGCCGTCATTGATTAACGTATAATAAACTCATGAACGTGAAATGCGTTTTGGAAACAATTACCTTTATGTATATATATATATATATATATATATATATATATATATATATATATATATATGTGTGTGTGTGTGTGTGTGTGTGTGTGTGTGTGTGTGTGTGTGTGTGTATGTGTGTGTGTGTGTGTGTATATATGTATATGTGTGTATATATATATATATATATATATATATATATATATATATATATATACATATATTTTTATATATATATACACATACACACACACACGTATACAACATATATATATGTATATATATATATGTGCGCCATAATAAAATGGCAAACGCATTTGCGACGATTTGATCAAATCCGCTTACCATTGTTGCAGAAATATTAAGCCAGATTGTCGGTGTTGCCATACGTACACATTTTGTTTTAAATATGTACATGCAACTCACACTAAATTATTTAGGTTACATTTGCTCTATTAAATATAAATATGCATTACAATCGGAGAAAAAAGAAGTGTTCCATTTTAGATTTCAACAATTTGGAATCTATTTCATGTGTTTTATAGTCTTACCTGTTGCAAAGAAACACAGTTGTACCCGTTCTACAAAGAAAAGAAAAGAAAAGAAAGAAAGAAAGAAAACAGAAAAGTGCGTCTAATATTTTGTCCATGACTGGATACACCCATGGGTTATGCTTATCCAATGTATTCTCAGCCGTTTCACTTATTTACCTATATGAGTTGTGATACGTTTTCTCTCCTATATATCATCATTTTTTTATTTTTTATTGAAAGAAGTACATAACTAATATCTCCGTCAACGTCTGTTTTCGATGTATATCATTCAAATGATATCCTGATATTTTTTCATTCTTTATTCATTCTTGACGGTTCATTTTTTAAAAGATTTTAAGAGCTCTTAAGGATTCATGAAACAAATTTTGATACGTCGGTTTCTGTAAAAAAAAAAAAAATAATAATAACGTTTCAGAGCCAAACATCAGCTGTTTCCCAAACGGATTGGTCACGCCTGTTTAGTCTGAGCAGTGGATATACAAAAAATATATGAAAGTAAATATTGACAGATATGTTGCGGGTCACTATTTCTTGTTCATTATATATATATATATATATATATATATATATATATATATATATATATATATATATATATATATATATATATATACATATATATATATACATATATGTGTGTGTGTGTGTGTGTGTGTGTGTGTGCATTTTGAGAACTATAATAAAAAAGAGGATTATTAGCGTTTGATTTTTCATTAATTAATATTGATAAGATTATAGGATAGTTACCAGCACAAGTATTTCACTATCCATGAAAAATAACACTTGCTAATACATATGTGTATAGGCAAATCTTGCAACAACGCCTATACTGTTTCCATAATGCAAATTCTTACAGGTGAAAATGATAATTTACAATATGAACCACAGAAGCCCAATGAATTATCATTATTTTTCATTTTATTTGTTTCTTCTTTATTTATCATTACAACGTTTTAGATACAGACTTCGGCCAGTGTGGTGTAGCAGAGTATAAAAGCCATTAAATAGGATAGAAGAGGAAAGATGGAAATCAAAAGACCAGAAATCATGCATTCAACTTTACTTCGGTTTAGTATTAAGTTCACATTGGAGAACATTCAGAACCATAAGGACGTATCAAAGAACTTCCCATAGTTGAAAAAGAGGCCACTTGAGGAAGATGACAAAAATAACGATAATACTAAAAATGATGATGATAACAATAATAATAATAATAATAATAATAATAATGATAATAGTAGTAGTAGTAGTAGTAGTAGTAGTAGTAGTAATAACAACCAACATAACAATTGAAAGAAAAAAAATGTTATTCAAGGCTTATGTTACATTTGAACACAGACTGTACTAAAGTAAATGAATCATTATTACCCTAACGTCTCGAATTATCTCTAAGGTTAGGAATAGAAATGCTCTTTTTTTAAATAGAAAAGTCACAACGCCAATGTGCGTGGGCGGCTGATTACACATGAAGAGAAAGAGAGAGAGAGAGAGAGAAAAGAAAAACATGTGTTTAAAAAAAATGTGAAAGAAAACGGGTTAAACCTCTGTGGCCAAAGAGACTGGAACGAAAGAACATGGTAGATGGAAAAAGAAACGATAAAGGAAGAGAAGGAGAAAGTAAAATGGAGAAGGAACAACGCGATTAATTAGATAAATTCCGATTATTAATTTTCACAAAGGATCGTCTCGCGGTGTGCGTGTCACGGTCTTAAAACCTAAGAGGGCGCGAGAATATTTTCGAAACCGTTTTTTTTTTTCATACGAATTTTTAAAACGCTTATCTAGAATTCAAATAATTAGATATGATATGGGTCAGATAAGCGAATAATAGGAATAGGAATACGGGATATTTTTTTGATTGTTTCTTTGATCAGAGAGGTTTGTTATTAACGGAGAAAATATTGACTTTTTAACGCTTTATTATAACTTTCGATGCTAAACGTATACTAGTTAACTCTGGAAGAAAGGTGATGTGGTTTAACCTATTTAGAAATCTGTTTATGAAAAAAAATATTTAAAAAATCATAAATGTTTATATTTTCGTTATCTTTGCTTTCGCTGCTTCGTGTCTCGTTCCCAGCGTGGTAAAAATTCCAACGTACAGGACTCTATTTTCCTTTAATACGCCACGTCGCTGCGAATGTTCTTTCGTCTGGAAACTAGATCCTAAACCATTATTTTGTTTCGTTTTTTTTTTTTGAAGGCTGCCCTCGCCAAAAAAATGGCAAGATAAAAGTAGGAAATAAAAAGAAAAAAGGAAATCAATTATTGATTTCCAGATAAAATAATTTACATACACTGTTTCCACATAGGAACAGCTGTCCTCGATACATCATCTCACCGAAAATACCTCCCCTTCAGGTGGTAGAACCGAAAAGGAATCGATGTTCTGCGTCGATTGCTTTCTTCGGTGAGGCCATGAGCGAAGGCAAAGGTTCAGTTTTAGGCGGTCGTCATCTTACAAAGATAAAGGTTAATCATCATCTCTCGTGGTTTTTTTTCCCCATAGTTTTCGGTGCCTCTTCATTCTTAATCTTCGACGACGGAAATGCATGGCTATTGTCGTCGAGTAGTTTCGCTTCGTGGATACCCATATTCTTTTTTTTTTAAATACACAGCCACTTTGAGAGACCCTCTTATTCCTTAAAGAATCTTAGGCATTAGCAGGTGCTTCCTTGGAGACAGTTTCGGATGGTGCGCTGGTCTCCTCCTTCTCGTGGACACAGAACCAAGGCATCTTCTTGCCGAGTTCGATGCGGTACCTGTGCAAGGAAGGGAGGAGAGAGAGAGAGAAAGTGAGAAGGAGAGAAGTAGGGAAGGAGAGAAGGATAGGAAAAGAAAAAAAGGGGAGAGACAGTGAAAGCGAAAGCGAAAGAGAGACAGAGAGACGAAGACAAAGAGGGAAAGAGAAAGAGAGAGAGAGAGAAAGAAAAAAAAAAAACGTAAGTTTGATTAAAATAGACAAAAAAAACAACAACAACAAAATAACATGAGTCCCGCCATTACACGCACCCACTTAAAAAAAAAATCAACCGAAAGAGAATACCACGATATTTTTCCCCCCGGCCGCACTTACTTGGGATGGTTGATGGCGTAGACGAAGGGGTCGATACAAGCCGCAGTCTTGCTGGTACAGGCAGGAATCATAGACACGAAGGGCGTCACCAGATCCGGCCTCCCGAAGGTGCAGGTGAAGGCGACCACGGCATAGGGCGTCCACGAGATAAGGAAGAGCGACGTGAGAGTGGCCCCGACCTTGGCTACACGTACCTCCTGCCTCATGTTGGTCTTGTCGCCGGATCGCAGGGAATCCACGTTCATCTTGCTGGCCTGGGGAGGGAGAAGGGGAGAGAAGGAGGGAAGGGGAGAGGAAATACGAGAAGGAGGGAAGGGGAGGAGAGGAAATACGAAGAGAGGAAAGGAGAGGAGAGGGAAGGAGAGGAGAGGAGAGAAGGAAGGAAGGGAAGAGGAAAAACGAGAAGGAGGGAATGGGAGGAGAGGAGAGAAGGAAGTGGAGAGGAAATACGAGGAGAGGAAAGGAGAAGAGAGGAGAGAAGGAGGGAAAGGGAGAAGAAATACGAAAAGAGGAAAGGCGAGGAGAGGAGAGTAGGCGGGAAGGGGAGAGGAAACACGAGAAGAGGAAAGGAGAGGAGAGGAGAGAAGGAGGGAAGGGGAGAGGAGAGGAGAGGAGAGAAGAGGAGAAGAGAGAGAGAGAGAGAGAGAGAGAGAGAGAGAGAGAGAGAGAGAGAGAGAGAGAGAGAGAGAGAGAGAGAGAGAGAGAGAGAGAGAGAGTTAATTGGATATTACTTTTATTTCCTTGCCATTCTGTTTGAAATTTGTAAAGGTGATGATGATGATTATCATCATCATCATCACAGCAATATTATAATCACGTATACCGAACTTACCTCTATCACAACTTCATACAACACCACCACCAACAACAACAACAAAAACAACAACGACAAAAACAACAACGACAAAAACAACAACCCTCATCACCATTACCAACACTTATAATCCTTACGTATTTACCTGTTTCTTCAGAGACTTCTCGTGGGCGGCGACGTGGGAATACACGAGGTAATAGCAGGTAGTGATGATGAGCATAGGAAGGAGCCACATGCAGAACCAGAGGCCGACGACGTAGAACTTAGAACCTTCACTCATGTAGTCGAAGGTACAGCTCGTCAGGTATCCCTCTGGGGGTGTTATAAAGGGGGGGGAGGTTAAGAGATGGTGTGTGAGAGGTAGGTGTGGTTATGTGTGTTAATTTGTGTATGTGTGTGTATGTGTGTTTGTTTGTGTGTGTTTGTATCTGTGTGTATGTTTGTGTTTGTTTGTATCTGTGTGTGTGTGCGTGTGTGTTTGTATCTGTGTGTATGTTTGTGTTTGTTTGTATCTGTGTATGTGTGCGTGTGTGTGTGTGTGTGTGTGTGTGTGTGTGTGTGTGTGTGTGTGTGTGTGTGTGTGTGTGTGTGTGTGTGTGTGTGTGTGTGTATCTGTGTATATTTAAGTGTATGTGTAAATCGAAGTGTACGTTTTTGTGTCTGTGCTTGTCTGTATTTGGGTCTGTGTCCGTGTCTACGTCCACGTCCACGTTCAAGTCCATATCTTAGTCTACATCTATATCTGTGCAATTTGAAACACACACACACACACACACCTATCTACCCGCAAATCCATCTGAAACAAAATCGCTCTCACCATATCATGAAAAAAACTCGTCTTACCCTCTCAATCCCACAACTCATAACCCACATGCCCTCTCACTCCCTTCCCCGCTCCCTGGTCCCCTCCCTCCTTCCCTCCTTCCCTTCCCCGTCCCCCTCCCCCTTCCCTCCCTCTCTTCCCCGTCCCCTTCCCCTTCCCTCACCTCCCTTCCCCGCCCTCTCCCCTTCCCTCTCTTCCCTCCTATTCCCCTTCCCTCCCTACCCCCTTCCCTCCCTACCCCTTTCCCTCACCTCCCTTCCCCCTTCCCCCCCCCCCCTCTCAGACTCACCGGGGACAAATCGGTTCCAGATCTCGAGGAAGGGCATAAGGACCCAGGGCGTGATCCAGGCGTAGATGAAGAACAGGATGGCCGTCACCTGGCCGCTGGTCAGGCGTCCTTCCAGGGGGTTGGTGATGGTCCTGTGGA